AGGGGAGAAAGAGAGAGAGAGACGTCGTCCTGCTCGATTTAGAAAATGGGAATGCATCTTCCTGGGAAAGTGGGAAGATGCATTCCTGTTTGCACGTCGAGATCTGCTGCGTCTCTCTCTCTCTCTCTCTCTCTCTCTCTCTTGTCACAAGAATATCAGAGCGCAAATGCAAAAAAAAAAGCAAAAAAGAAAGAAAAACAGGAAAAAAATCTGAAAAAATGAATTCAGTTTTTTATCTTCTTCCTTATAAAAATGTTCAGATTTTTTTCCTGTTTTTCTATCTTCTTCCTTATAACTCCCCCTGTTCAGAACCTCTTGCGTACAAGGCCGCCCACGTGGATGTAGGTTGAGCGGCTGCTGCCCCCACCACTGTGTGTCATATCGACCCACTTGCACACAGCCAGAAGGCAAAGAGGCAAAGAAAAGAGGAAGGGAACAGCCAAATAATACAGAACAGGGGGCAACAAAACAGATCCCAGATTGCAAGTCCCACATGCAAGCACCGCCCATGCCCACAGGTCAAACGACGGGACAAGACCAACCAGGATGTCAAAACATTATTGTCTGCAAAGAAATGAAAAAGAACCCAGAGAACCGGTATAAAAGACAATCCCGGATGACTATTCCCACATACAAGCACCACCCCGCATTCCAAAAGGCCGAACAACGGGAAACAACCAACCAGGATGCGAAGACAATAAAAAACCCGGATGACTGATCCCACATAAACCACCACTACCTGCTTAGACCGAATAACGGGACAAAACCAAACGGGATGCAGACAAGATTACCACAACAAATCTACCATATCCATAGTATAAAAAACGGAACCATACAGTAGGCCCGCAAAACGAAACACCCCAGCAACGGGGAAGATTGAGCAACACAAGAAAATGTGGGATGATAGGACGATGATTCAGGCTATGTATATCTACCTCCCGCAAAACAAAACACCCCAGCAACGGGGAAGAATGAGCAACACAAGAAAATGTGGGATGATAGGACGATGATTCAGGCTATTTATTTATCTATCTATATATCTATATATCTATCTATCTATCTATCTATCTATCAGCTATTTATTTATCTATCTATCTTATCTATCTATCTCCCTGCGTCGTACCATCCCCCGCGCCACCCGACGTCTGCAAAACGGGTCTGCAAAACGGGTGCATCTTCCCATGAGGGAGGGAGGGTGAGCTGCACGGAAGGCCGTGTAATAACCCTGTTCAGAAGTAGCCTGGGGCCCAGATCTCAGCCCCAGACCACGCAGACCTGAGAAGGTCTGCACTGGGCTGTGTGACCAAAACACGCCCAGGCCTGAGTCTGTCGAGTGTGGCTGTGTGACCGAACGCTGCACACAGGAAATTCAAGAGTCAAAGTCAATTGTAGAGTC